TCCAGGCTCTTTGTGCTACATTGGATATTTCCCTTTCCCAACAAAATGCGTTATGTTCGGAAACTGACTTTCAAAAATTTTTATAATTTGATCACAGTTTTGGACCAAAGTGATCATTTATCTACCCTTTCCCCCTCCTTATCGGATCCAGCTATCCAACATTATCCCCCATGTTCTTGTAGCACGTGTCGGCGTGCAAAAGCCATTTTTCATTCAGACCTAGCGGAGGAACGTAGTCATGCTGCAATGGCAATGTTTCCTTCGCAATTAAAAAAGCAAGTCAAGAGAGTAAGAGAGTAAGAGAGTAAGCTGCTTGGAGTTATATATTTGGCACCTTTAAAAGGAAATTTGGAAATAGAATCACATCACGTGAAAGTTGGGGTTTGGCTATCGTTTGGGCGTGATAGTCAAAAGGGTGTAAAAAGAGACCACTGGCTCTATTTTAACACTTACTTACTTACTTACTCGCTTACTTACTATTTATTTATTCGCTACATTTCTTCGTGGGATTTAACGTAGTGTCGGCTACAGTGCTCTTCAGACTGTTTATTTCAAATAGCTACTTTCTAGGCAGTTGCTACTAGATTGGAGTGTATTTACCAATTGTTTCCTTCACGAAATGAAAAACTTTACGGGAAAATCAGTGACTTGTCCTTCCTTGATTATCACCGGGATAGAGAGATTAATAACGGGAAATAGACCCCCACGCACACATACAACAAACTCTGTTGATAACTATATATTTAGCCGCCTATAATGCGTTTCACCTATATGATTTTACCCCAGTTGGCACCCGAGAAAACTGCGGTGATATATGTATGGCAATGGACGGAAAATCCTACAGAACACGGGATAAAGCGGTTACCGGACTAAAGAAAGAGTATAACACGGTGTAAAATATCACTTTGGGTATTTAGTATAATTGCTAAGAAAAAAGGGGGTATTTTATAACTGGTAAGAATAATTAAAATCATATTCATATTCAAAGATAAGCTTAAAAAGGGGCAGTCAATAGACATTCAGGAATCATCGTGACCACTTGGCACGAGGTGGGAGATATAACTTGGAAATGGCCTTTGAAGGCTAGGGAGGATTATGTGTGATCCAGGAAACACGGTGACTGAGTTGGGACAGAGCCCAAGACAAAGGGACTTAGAAAAAAAACTATAAAGCAGGAATTGCCTTTTTGCAATGCTATTTATATCAATGGCATTTAAGACCTAGAAAAAACTGTAAAAGGTGAGCTTAAATGGTTGAAGTTCAAATCTGACAGAATGATACATATAGAACAAAAGGACTATCTAACAGATATTTGACTTAATTCTTGCAAAAGATAAAAAAAATTAAAAAATCAGAAAGAAGAATTATGTGAAACTTATAAAACTACTCACTTGAAAATTGTCTCTGATGACAACAGACTGAGAGGAATGCTGGGTACAGAACAGATGAAAAAGAACACGTCAAAAACTGAAAATATTAAGCTAAGGCGAAACTATAAGAGTAGATCAAGTTTCAGGGGGAAGTCTGGACATGCGACAGAAGATATTGGTACAACTACCAGAATTGTCTGTTTGGTACAAGTACCAATATTGAAGGACAGCCGTTAGGGCTGAATTGGCCACTGGGCCAGAGGGTAACAAAAACATACACGTCAATACTTGTACAACACTAAATCTTGATCAAATCATAGCAACAGCCGTTCAGGCCAGCACGTTCGCTGTTTCCCAAAACTTACGAACTTTGGTGCAGACCATGTTAACACCACACGTGAATACAATACAAACAAAAACAAACCGTGAACAATTTAATACTCATAAGCAAGTGACATTCCAGAATGACACCAAAAGACAGAGCCAAAGGAGGCACAGATCACCCGCCAGGATACTTAAGGAGGAAGGGACACGCAATGGACAGAGGAGGCCTTCAGAACAAGAGAAGCGGCTATGCATGACGTGCGGTAAGTGGGTCTTTCATTTACCTAGAAGTTGTCTGTTTGGTACAACTAGCAGTATTGTCTGTTTGGTACGACTAGCAGTATTGTCTGTTTGGTACGACTACCAGTATTGTCTGTTTGGTACGACTAGCAGTATTGTCTGTTTGGTACAACTAGCAATATTGTCTGTTTGGTAAACTACCAGCATTATTGGTTTAGTACAACTACCAGTATTGTCTGTTTGGCACAACTACCAGTATTGTCTGTTTGGTAAACTACCAGCATTATTGGTTTAGTACAACTACCAGTATTGTCTGTTTGGCACAACTACCAGTATTGTCTGTTTGGTAAACTACCAGCATTATTGGTTTAGTACAACTACCAGTATTGTCTGTTTGGCACAACTACCAGTACTGTCTGTTTGGTACAACTACCAGTATTGTCTGTTTGGTAAACTACCAGTACTGTCTGTTTGGTACAACTACCAGTAAAGACTTGTTTGTTTTAATACTAATTGACAGGTTAACAGCCCTACATTTTACAGCATGATATTGAACTTCTAGGGAGAACTGCTGTACCTGAGGAAATTATGTATGGTATTCCTGCTTTATATTCTAACTATAATATTAACTATGACCTTTCTTTTGCAAACCTTTGGAAATAGCAAATATATGTTTAATGTCCCTTTTTAAAATGTGTAATACAGCATACTTATTATGTACTTGTAATAACACCGTTGTTCTATTCTATCCCAAGTGAAATCATGACATACACCACGCTAATACACAGTCACAAATCTACTACTAAAAACATTTTCTAAATGAACTTAAAATATAAAATAATAAAAGAACAATTCATATAAGAATTCTGATCCACCTGATTTTGAAAATTCACCTGCAATTCATCTTCATACAACTTGTTTTCTTTCTTCCTTGGAAAAAGCCGAAGCAGAATGTATGCGATCTTCTGGTTTCCATGGTTGGTTTTGAGCAACGGTTTCAAAAAGTTTCCAGGCATTTGCGAACCAGGAGGTAATCATTCCGACCATCTTTGCAGAGTTGTTCTGTTTAAATACTGAAATATAGAAGTGAACTTATCAATGGACACATTTTCAAATAAAGTCCATATGAATGAAAAAAGCAAAACTCATTATTTGCAATGATTATAAATTAGTTAACAAGAAGAAATGCACTTTAACAAGGCAGCAAAGCTGTCAAATGTACAGACAAAAACCAGAAAATAAAAACGCAGGAAATAGGATACTGTCAATTCTGATGAACTAATGTATTATGCTTACTGTAACTGCATAGCCAACATCAAATTCTTATTCTGCATAACATTGGATTAGGATGAAAGTAAAATGTGTATCAAGCATTAGACTAAGTTCCCATACCTAGATCAATCTAACAGGATCAATCCAACTCCAAGGGGTTTCTCACTAAATTGCTTTCAGTTTGAGAGTCTTAGGATTCTGGCATGCCAGTTTCAGTAGGCGTGACAGACAACTAAGCCACTTACATTGATTGCAATTTAGCGAGAATTCCCATGGAGATAGATCGATCCACAGTTAGCGTGATAGGGTCTGGAAATAGTCCCTAAGGTGTCAGGCTGATAAGAGTTAAACTTTGGAAATGCCAGAATGAGGTACAGTGAAAATTACACACAAAAAAAA